CATCAACCCAATCATCAGACGAAGAAAAATGAATAACCTATGTGCCTCGACTCCCAAGCTTAGCTATTTCCTCTACCGTTAGACCTTCCATGTAAATTCCCGCCACGCAGATAGGCACAAAGCCAGTTAAGGGCCTGAGTCCAAGCATATGGGGGTAGCAAAACCTNTTAATTGTGTTTGATTGGTATAATTTTTCTCCTGAAAAATGTTGAAAGTTTGGTATCCGTTTGACTTTGTTTTTATAGAAATTGTCCATTAAAGTGATAATTTTTCTACCATTGGGTTTAGAATTTGTTCCAATTGTCAAAAAAAAAATTAAATTTAAAAAAATTACTATACCGAATACCATTCGCTTGGCTTTGTTTTGTATGAAAATTGTCAATAAAAGTAATAATTTTTTTTATTATTGTGTCTAGAATTTTTTGCCAAAAAAAAAAAACTTGGAAAATCAATTCCCACAAAAAACAAAAGAAAAGCAATTCCTCCAAATCCAAGAAAGTGGGCGCGTGAGGGGTAGGAGGAAAACGTTTTTCAGGCAAAATTTGTCGTATCAAACACTACAAAACTTGGAAAATGTACACATCAAACAGGGCCTTAATGTACTTAGATTGTAGTTATATTGGACCGTTTTATAAGAAGGTGAAATCTTTAATCCCGCCAAATTTTTTAGCATATATTTTTTCACATCAAATTCAGAGTTTGACACGAGTATTCGAGTGCATACAGCCGCTCCACCACCCCTGTGGTGGCGTCAATTGAGCACTCTTAACAAGTTATTTTGGTGTGCGATGCATACAACTTCATATAGAGATGAACTGATATATTGACAATTGGTTGTCGCGAAATTTTGAGGTCAACAATTTTAGATGAATATTGCACTTTAAAATTTAAACAATAGCCACAAACGAAGTGCTAGCCCGATCGGACCCAACGGAAGTTGTATAGATCGTTAACTTAACAAAGATGTGTAGAATTGTAAAGTTAGGAGGCAAAAATTGTATGGTAAAAGATTTTAATGTAGAATTGTAAAGTTAGGGATTGTTTAACAAAACTTTTTATTAAACCCCTGTTTGTCTACCATTATTCCAAAAATTTGTTTGTTACAGTAAGATTCTCAACCACACATTTACCCAATAAAATATTTTACACACAAATCAATAAAGTTATTTTAAATATCAACCGTACATTCTCAAAAAAATACTATTCATTACTCTATTTTTCTCCCAATAATGAGAGACAAACACACCCTAAGGTTTTAGAATATAGTAAGAATTGATGACACGTATCACGTATGATTAAAAAGTAGATAAAAATTATAAATATCATAAAATATATATTAAAATTGAAGTTCAGTCGACCAACTAAAAATGATAAAATTTCAATAAAATTCATATAACACTATTGTATTGCCCAATTTAGGTCGACCACAAACTGATAGATTATGACTGACAATAAATAAGATGTACATTTGACAACGAATCGTGCTATTGGGCCCAGCTCAATGACCGGGCCCAAAAAACTTGGCGCCCTCACATTGGAAGGGGAGCTGAAGGAGGAGCTGAGCGGTTAGCTCCCCCTCCAATTACAGGGCGCCACCTCGGCGCCCTGTTTTTTGTCCCGGTCATTGAGCCGGGACAAATGGCTTTAGCCTTTGACAACACACAACAATTAAGGAGAATGACAAACGTTATAATGACTTCCACTTACCAGTTACCACTACTTGAAGAATGCGACTTTCCCCCACCATCACTTCCACTCTATCTTATTGCTAGTCGTATTCAAACTTGCATTGCATTTTATTTTTTAAAATTTTTTGTGTTAATGATAGTTGCAAGATTGAATAAACTATGCTTCAGTATGCCACTCATGACCACTAAAATTTTCAAATACACGAACACAATTAAATTTGGTAAATATTCCCCAAAAAATATATTAATGGAAGTCTCCTTGACTTTCATCAAAGAGTCTCCAATATATACTTAAGAAAAAGTATTATTGAAACAATCTTAAAATACCTAAATTAAAATCGTCATTCATTTAACGTTTAACCATTACTACGTTATATAAGGTAAGTGAAATCTTTCGTCAAGTCGAATGTTCATCCATTTGCCTTTTCACACGAAATTCAGAGTTCGACTTGAACATTAAAGTGCATAAAACCACCCCCACCATCCTCGTGGTGTTGGTTGAGCATTCCAACATGTTATCCTAAAGTGTAGCTCGATGAAAATGTTACTTGGATCTATTGACAGTTGGGTCTCGCAAGATTCTGAGGTGAGCCAATGGATCTCGTATTCTAACGTTTAAGAACCTTGCTGCTTGTACAGAAAAACAACCAAAAGTTCGAAATGATGTGGAGGGAAAAGATTGAATGAAAAAACTGATTGTATTTTAAACTAACAAATAATAAAGTATCATATGACATTATGTAAAATATTATGTAAGTTTTGATATACATGTAGCACTGTCCAAAATTTAAACTATAGACACAAATGAAGTTAAGGCCTGAGCGGGCCCAACAGAAGTTGGACTCCTGGACCGTTACTAGCCAAGAATAATGTGCTCGATAAATAGTGTTCCAATCAACCTTCTCCCCATCAACCATAAACAGAAAGCCCAAAATGCTCAATAAATAGATCATGAGCCTGACCCTTTTTTTTTTGTTTCAGTCCTTCCCCTTTTTTTCCGACTTCGTAGCATTAAATCGAGATCTTATTTCACACATAATGTTCAAGTACAAGAAAAATATAGCAACTTCCATGAACTAAGCCAATGTTTGAGCAGCATTAAAATTTTCAATTTCATTCTTTTACTCATTTTCAACCACACATTCTTTAACAAAACAATATTTTTCATCATATAAATAATTTTTTCTTCTTTTTCAACCACACATTTTCCATCAATCTACGATTCGAAAATACATTTTTCCAAAATAATGTGACTCAAACACACCCTAAGTCTCAAATAAAATCGAGAGATACTAGAAAAAATATACCAAAAAATTAAAATTTAAAACAAATACATATCCCTTCAATCTTTCATCACAAGATTCATCCAATGTTGATTCTACACTAACGCTAAGTCGAGAATTCTCCCGCAAAGATTAGATTACTCTAGATTTCAATATGCCAAATCTATGATACCATCTACAGTTTCACTCAAAATAGTTTAAGGCATGGTTACAGGAGCAATACTGCTCAAAAAAATAACCTCAGTTAAATAATAAAACTACAAACACGGATTCTCTCATGTTCATGTCGAAGCAGATGAAAGCACGAAACTCAGTTCAGAAACTCCAACCAATCAATACAGAATAATGCAGTATTTGTTTTATAAGAACACACACACAAGCTTTCCTTGCCCGTGGAATCGACCTTGTAAATACAACCGAGTACGAGGTCTGATGCTAGACTTAGTTTTATCATCTCACACGAGAAAAGTCCAATACCTCCTCAGTCTTTTAACTCTCTAGCTCAACAACTTATTTCATCATCTATTTGATCACAAACTCTCAATCGTCTCCATGTCTAATGAAGAATTGAGGTCCATGTGATTTATGGTGCAAATAACAACCCAAACACAGAAGAATATAAGCAGCTGCTGCAATTAGATGTTGATGAAAACCTCAAACAGTTCATATCCATATAGACTGTAATAAAGACATTTGCAAAACTAGAGGTTCATCCCATTCCCAAAAGAAACCAGAGAGCAAATGCGAAATGTAAGGGAGAAGGAATCGTATAGACAATATAATGCCTCGACAAACAGATTGCGAAAGGCAATATATTGAAGAGACTTTTTTACCTTTCAATATATATCATCTCACATCCATTAATTCATAAAAGAAAGTTGCACATAGATTACTCTGGAGAAGCAGAAATCATTTCGTGACAAGCTGCACAAATATATACATGTAAGCCCCTATTTGATGGACATTATTTTAAGAAAATCAAGTTTTGAATAGTGATTTTTTGGAGAACGTATGATTAAAAAGTCGGGAAAAGTTTTAGAATTATGTACAAAATATTTTATTGTGTAAATGCGTGATTGAAAATCAATATGAAAATTAAACAGTTTTAAAATAATGGTTGTCAAACAGGGGCTAAATGTGAAAGCATACATCTCGTGTCTACCAAATCATAAAATATAGAAACACACAAGACTAATTCATACAAGACTCTATACAAGTAGATCTCTGACCACCAACCATAACATTTATTGTGTGCAAGCTTTAGCCCTATATAATTTTTCCACATGTTAATATGCACCTCAAGGCGATGTCACTGGACAAGTACTTCAATTCTATCCACCGACTCTCAAGAATCATAACTTGAAATCAGATCAAAAGATGCACGTAGAATTGATTCGTTCAAGCAAGACTCTCAACAAGTGACTTCCAGACATAATTGATTTGTTCAAGCAAAGACTCTCAACAAGTGACTTCCAGCCATAATTGATTCGTTCAAGCAAGACTCTCAACAAGTGACTTCCAGACATAATATCTATTTGAGTAGCCAATAGCTTTTAATCCAATGTAACATTTCTTGTGTTACCCTCCACCTTGAGCTTATGAAGTTATTAGACAATCCTTCAATAATTGACTTTAAAATTAGATTGAGCATGCAAGACTCTTGACAAATAGATTTGTGACCACTAGACCTAGCATTTCACCCTATATAACTTCTCCCAGCGTCACCCAGTATCACAATCCCATGCAATTATAAAAAATTTCCCCATCTACCAACTCTCAAGAATCAGTTAACAGATAGTAAAAGTCCAGAATATATTTTATCATATAAATAATACATACAAGATGGCATAAACAGTTATCTGAAGTGGACAATATTTTTCAATTTGTTTTCTAGCATTTTGATTTCCATTTTTTTTTTCAAATCTTAACCCTTCTTCTGTTTCCTATCTTTATACACATGATAGAAGTAGGCATTTTTATCACCAGGAATTAGATCAAGAACAAAAACATACTGTACATTGAGAAAATGTCACCAGAAATCAACATCAATGCCTACAGATGAAGACGGGTACGGATCAGCTTCTTCCTCCATCTCTAATTCTGGCTCCCCAGACCCGAACTCAGTTGACTCTATATCTGCAAGATTCTTTAAATCGACTATCGAGAGCTCATCAAGATGCCTCACAATAAGGTCAGCAGCCCCAAGCTCGTATACAGGGTGCTTGCTAGCAACAGCTACACATTTCATCCTAGCATCATGTGCAGCCTCAACTGTTTGATTTGAGTTCCCAAACACAATACACCGCTCTGGTATGAATTGAAGAAGCTGTGCTGCGTACACAAACATCTCAGGATCAGGCTTCCCCCTGTGGACATCCTCTGCTGCTACAATAACATTAAAGACCCCTTCAATACCAATAGCTCTCATTGCTATCTCAATATACTTTCTTGGGCGAGTCGAGACCAAAGCCATGGGTACTTTGTAATGCATCAGAACATTCACAAACTCTTGGGAACCCGAGCGAAATCTATAAATCCCACCTTGCAGTGCTTGGTAAATCTCCTCTTTCCTAGAAGCCATTCGCTTCAACCCCGCTGGATCTCTTGACCAGCAGAGAACTTCTGACATTGCCTGCTCGTTCTTCATTCCTTCTATCCTCCGAAGCATAAAAGCCGGAGGCGGGGATTTCCCTTCTTCCCGAGCAAGAGCCAACCAGGCCTGGCTCTCAAGATCAGGATTGTCTTCAATTAACACACCTTCCCACTCAAATATAGCACCTAGCCACCCACAACCCATCCTTTCTTGCCGAAGCAATGGATTGTGAAGTGCGCGATTATCCGCCCTGTTCTCCGGTGGCCACAACCCCGGTCTAAAATCAACACCAGTATCAATCCCATATCCGAGATCCTTCGGTATTTTCACATTCTCTCTATAGGAATATGCCTCTTTGGTCAATTCCATTGCCTGAGCCTTTACCAATGACACTGTTTTTCGATCAACTCGCAATCCCCGCGAAACCTTCCCACGTAGAAATTCTGTAAAAGGAAGCCGGAAATCATCAACCTGCTTTCGCTTGCTAGAAACATCCTTGAAACAATAGCCTCCATAAACCGGTCGATGCCCCAAAAGGGATGTTGCAGAAATTGACTCCATCTTTATTAGCTAGTGACAAACCCAGCTAAAATTTGATTTTTAAAATCCCCTCAATGATGTGAAATACTTACCAAATCTGTCTGCGACGGAAAAAAAAAATTCTAATAATTATTAGCTTGAACACGAAATCCAATAGCTATACGCAAACCCAATACAAATTTCCGTATATAGAGAAAAAAGAATTCACCTAAACCGACAGAACCTTCTCTTGTGAGATATCACTGTATGAACCATAAGTTACTCTCGCATAAAAGAAGCATAAAAATGGAAACGATGCTGTCTTCTCACAACAAAGAGATCCCAACTTTAATAAAAAGCCATCGAAGTACACAAGCCTAATCCAAAACTTAAACAACACGCTAACGCAATACAATTATTATCACAAAACACCCACCCCACAAGTAAAAGTATTGAAAAAATAAAAAATTATATATCTACAGAAAACCCCAATTGATTTCAGCCAAAAATCCCAATAAAAAACATAAATTCGTGGAAGAAATAACTATATATATATATTTTTAAATAAAAAACCTCTACGACAGATTATAAATATTTACAGAGAGCGCGAAAATATAGAAGATTGGAGTGGAAACAAGGGCTTTGATTTTAGAAGAATCCAGTACAGAGAAAGAGATGAGATTTTTAATTGTATTAAATTACATTATTTGTTTATGTGGTTTATATGCAACGCTGAGGTTCGTGGGAAACTGGTGATGCTAGCAAATGGCATGACTTAGCCAATATATTTAATCATTCGTGCAGAATGGTTTGTACATGATGGATTACCACCTCTCATAGAATGAGCGAGTCTTTGTGTATTTAAAAATTTTGACAATGTGGTATTCATCTCCATTATGAGTAGTAGGTAAAAGATTCAATAAAAAAATTCGGTACATATAGGGCCTGTTTGGGACAAATTTTAATCTGATTTTAATTCAAGTCAAAGTCAAACAATCAATATTAACCATATCTTTCATGAGTTCCACATCTTTTCAACAGTACATTTCAAAAACTTCTATCACAATCCACTAAAAATCTAATTTTAATCATTACCAAACACCCTCGTAGCATGATCCATATATTTAAGCATTCTCCTTTTTTTTCTAAATTATTTTTTATTATATATTTTTTAATAAAATAAATTTCCACGTAATTTAGTTTGTGTTTGGTACTACTAAAAATTCTTCTTGCACCAAATCAAATTTAAGTACTGCGTGATAGCATGTTGGGTATAGTCAATTGGATGGAACTGCAGTAATAAGTGGGTCGAGAAGTTAATTTTTTCGTACTTCTTACCCATAAAAATGAGGAAATCCTTAATTCTAACCTTACTATTTGAGAATAATTTTTAGTTGATGGTCGTGGTCTTATAACATTTTGGGCAAATATGCATCAATTAGGGCAGTTGAGACGAAATCGCCCATTGATGATCAACAATGGTTCACATATTGGGTTCTCCACTCTATGATTACACCTCTTTAGCTTACATTTGCTATGCTCGTTGAGTGGTAAGTTACTGTTATTTTTTTTTCCCTTCATTTACTTTTTTCGATTATTTTCGTGTTAGGATTGCTGTTGATGCAAAATTCAATCCATTTAGTTACTACTATACTAGAATATTGGTTACATGTTAGACATTAGAATTTGAACCTGTGGCCTATTTATTTTTCCTGTAGAGAAAGTTTTAGGCACATTCCAATGATTTAGTTGTAATAGAAACTAAAACAATTCTTCAGCAGAAAGTACAGGCCAGTGCCATTTAGTTACTTATTGACATGTCAAAAAAGGAGAAAGAAGATAAAGTAATAGAGGATTTGATGCCTTGATTTCTCAATGCACAGGATCTTGCTCTCTGAATTTTGATTTTCGGCTTATTTTCTTTGCAACAGAAGAAAGATGGCGGCAAGGCCGGCCCTGGCCCAAGGCAGACAAGGCCACTGCCTTGGGCCTCAAAATCTTGAGGGCCTCAATAAAAAAAGTTCAGCCCAAACCCGCCCCAGTTCAAAATCCATCAAATCCATGAAAAAATCATTTGTTACCTTAGGGTTAAAGTGAGGGCGATTGCTCTCATATCACCACTAGAAAATCTACTAATTCCCACAAACAATTGTTGCTTTTACCTTCACTTTAGAGAAACCGATTGGCTCCTTTATTCAAACAAGAAGTTCTTGATTCTATTGATGGCTTTCAAAAATGTCAAAAAAATTGAGCCCAGGTAAGATTTTATATTATTGTTCTTTTTTTTCAAAATATGTATTTTTGATGAGATGTTTTGTTCTTGAATCTTTTAATATTTTTTGTACTTTTTGTTTTGGGTTGAAAGAGTTTATGTGAATAAAAGTTGAAAATGTTGGAAACATGGCAGCTCCGCCCTTAAATTATCTGAATTTTGGAGAATCTTGTTGATATTGTCATGTTTATATTCTCAAATGGGAACGGAGGAATGTTAACTCGTGAATCTTTTGATAATGCTTTAATTTGTCCATTGTTATCTTGTTTGAAGTGGAGTTAAGGTAATTGGTGTAGCTGGCTAGGATTTGCAAGTGAAACAGATTCGGCTCAAATATCGTTTGACCATAAGCATTCTTTTTCTTGTACTATGTTGCCATTGTAACCTAAGCAGGCAAATAAGTGAGATCCATGAATTGAAGCGTTCTTGGATTAACTTAGAAAATTACTTGAAGCATTAAGTGTTATTTATTTAAATATTTAAGTATTTTTACGCTTGTAAAAATATATATTTAGGGGCCTCGAAATAATTAGTCGCCTAGGGCCTCAAAACACTTCGGGCCGACCCTGGATAGCGGCAACGGCAACGATAGCAATGATGGTGGCAACAGAGACAACAAGCTCATAGCAAAGAACCACACGGATTGAACTTCAGAGATGGAAAGCATGTTTTGCGGCAACACCTCACTTTTTTTTTTGCCTCCTAACCTAGTTGATGCTTGAGTTTTTGACAGTAATTAAGGAGTTCGTTTTGCTGTTTTTCCTGGGAAATTTTTAGACTGCTTTATGTACATAAATGAGGGAGTGGGAATCTCTTTGTTTTTCTTTGATTTCTTCTAACTCAAGTGCTGAAACTTAATACTAGATTTTCTGTTAGAATTTGGGTGTGACCCGAATTCCTTGTTTGAAGTATTGAAGAATTCTAATTGTAGTGAATTTCAAGAAGAATTCAAGTTTGGAATGTTATTGGAGTCCTATATCAAGTTGAAATTCTATTTTGGAAGCACATTGAGAGTTGTAAATTAATATTAGACTTGAAGAAGAGTTCGGCATGGAGAAAAACACTTTGAAAGCATGTTTTGGAATATTAACCCGAAACCTAGTGCCCGAGCGCTACTACAGTAGCGCCTAGTCGCTACTACAGTACCTGATTGCATTTTTTCTCTCTTACTTCGTTTTGGACTCGATTTTTTAGCATCATACTTTATCAACAACTCTATCAAAAGGGTTTGGACGTCCCCTACATGTTCCCTATAAATACTAGATTCTTCTATACATTTTTTTGGAACAATTACATGTGAGAAAATAGATTACTAGAATTATAGGATCTATTGTAATTTTCTCTCTTCTCCATTATTCTTGAATCAATAAAATCTCTTAATTCCTCTATCATATTCTTGTCTTTATTATTCTTTTGTTTGATCATATAATTCATTATTATTTGCCATATAAATTCATATTTTTCTCTCTTCTCCATTATTGTTGAGTCAATAAAATCTCTTAATTCATTTGCCATATTCTTGTCTTTATTATTCTTTTGCTTGATCATATATTTCATTATTATTTGTTATATAACTTCAACATCTTAATCCGGTGATTAACGTCACAACAAGTGGTATCAATCCTAACATTTTCTTTGTCGTAACGAGTCATTTAGAAGTTTGTTCTCCTTTTTCATCATCTTGCTTTGCTTATATGAAAGCGATATGAAATCTCTGTTTCTTCTGCTTTTCAAAAAGCTTCTTATTGTGGGCATGAGAGTTGTGCATGTGGCTGTCCTGTCATTTGCCCTCGAATTATCTGCCAATGGATGCTTGGATTCTTAGAATGCTAATGTAATTTGTAGAAGATTATAAGATTATTGAGTGATTGACAAAAAGAAATGAATTCTCTCCTTTGATTTTGCTTCAGGCTGTCAACGGTATGCGTCATATATATTCGAGTAAAGTAGTGCTCGTTCCAATAGAAGGCGAGAGCTATATAGATATATACATACACAGGGGTGGAGGCAAGGGGGACCTGGACACCCCCCCCCCCCCCCCCTTCTTTGACAAAAAAGTTTTTTTTTTTTTAAAGCATTTTGTCCACACCATTTTGATATTAATTGATATTCCATGTCCATTTCCTTGCTACCAATGACC